ATGCTGCATGTTAACAAGAAGCTATTTTGTCGCCCGACTCGATACGAGTTGTGTGTTGTTGGAGTCTTATGTGGTTCTCTGAAACAAGTTTCAGAGCTTAGGATGCCTTATACCATAAGTGAGCAGCAGGTCTTCGTGATGATATAATAACTGTTTAGCGTGCAGTGATTCATTAATAAAAGGGTCGTCCTAACTCTGATATTTTATCTCGGAACGTTTCTTAGGCTGTGGCAAAATGCTCTTTGAGTTCGTGAATGGTGGCATCCCCAAGTTTGGTAGGTTTTACGGATGTTTGTACANTGTACATAAAGGCCTCCGCTCTGGCTCCAGCCTACCACAGAAAATCACAGGAAATCTTTTCTCCGGGATGGCAAATGAATTGTGCCCTCTGGACGAGTCATGCAGGTGCTGTTAAGAAACTGGAGTGCTCAAACGGTTTTACAAGCTTGCCGGTGGGAAAGTATTGCGAAGCCATTGCAATACGGCGCTGAATATACATCATAGTTTCATCCGAAAAGCACGCTTTTTCACAGAGCAGCAACACTCAGGGGACAATAAACACGGTTGTGTGGTGTATTATTTTGTAAAGGGGATCAGGAAAGTTTACATTCTCCCCACGAATCAATTAAGTGATCTGGACTCTGTCCGTTACTCCGGATGGCACGGTAAAACATGTTCAAGAAGGAAATTCTTGAGCATTTTCAATGATTAAATGGATTTTATCACACAAAAGTAGCATTTTTGCCGATGGGATATATTTCTGAATCAGTAACGGATAAATGGGCAATCATCGACTTTTAAATAGAGCTTAGGTACGAATACCTCGGATTCATTAGCACGAATTCGCTGTTAATCTCTGTCCACTCGGTCTAAAATAATGAAAAGTCCTGAGTTTTGCGCTGACCGCAGAAATCTCCCCACTATTTCTTCAGGGCCGAGTGCAACCTCAAGAGTCGGAGCAGCATCTCACGAAATGGCGTTTAGTTCCTCGTAAATTATAGCCTTGCATAACAGGGCTGTCTGCCTCATAATCTGACAAAACTGAAACGTCAAGGCAATAACGAGAGTACTTCAACTCGTCTCAAACACGGAGCTTCTGTTGTTTGTCCTAAACGGTTTGCCATATAAAAAGTGTGCACAGGACCTCTTTCACTCTGAACCTTTTCCTACTTTGGTTCCTTTTCACCGGTTCAGTGAATTCAACTGCGGATCGCCGTTACCTATTCTGAACCGCTCCTGACTTTAGCAAATAGCCGTACACGTTTATTAGTCCGCGAGGTATAATGTAAACATTTCATTGAACACAAGTAAATCGTATGCATTTGGATGTATAAGAGCTACAGAAATAGTAAATATGATAATCGTTCGATCCAGTAGGGTTCCACTTTCACAGTTGAACTACGATCAGTTGTAGCATCCATCAAGTAACTGGTTCACATGAATCGTTGCGAGAAGACCACAATTTCAAGAATGTCATGATCGTCTTCAAGATGCCTGGATGTGAGTCCCTAGTATTCGCAGCTTTTCACACTCATTTCCTTGTTAGCCATGCCGATGAAAGACAGTGGCTACTGCATTTGGTGAATATCACTATTCACAAAAAGAAGAATCCCTCAGGTTGGGGTGGGTTTGCAAGGGTCATAATGACGGGAATGTCGTTTGTGGGTAAATAAATTCTGAACTCACACTACTATTGACACTTTTACCATCCATCTTGTTTGGCTTAAACTAGACCATCGCATTTGACTTGTTTGAATATGCCTGTTTCATGCATACATATGTGAGATTGCTTGCTCAATTGGTCTTTATACCCTAATAAACGATGAACACAACTCCATTTTTAAAGATGAATTTGTCGTGTATATAGCAAACGAAGCGTGAACTGAAAAGCTAGGAAGCACTGGACGACTGTTTCGACCTGGTTAGGTCTCAACAGCAGTGCCAATCCATCGACCCAACTGGGGATCGAACCCAGAACCTTATGGACTGAACGCAACCATGCTACCCACTCGACCACCGGGCAGACCGTATCTCATTTTCTATTTACACGATACAGCACAGCCCATCTTTGCGAGCTTATTGCGGGCCATAGACCCTGCTCATCTCAGCACTAGCCTCGGTGTTATGACTTGATTGGAAACTTTCACAACCGGACTTTCTTTGCAAGCTGAAGCAGAGCTAAAAATGACATATTTACACAACTCCGTATTACCTTCTCCAACCTGAAGTACCTCAGTGACAGTTTCTTCTTTATCTGAAATCATTTGATATAGTCGATAATGCGCGATCTTCAAAATCACCTGGAACTCTTTCAGACCGATGAACATGTGCCCTCTCCTTGGAAACATTTGTGGCTAGATAATTTTTCACATTTTGGAAGACAATCAAGTTCTATAGGGACTACTTAAAAGGGATCTTGAAGGTAGAAATCCCAGTGAGCAATAGCTTGAAAACGAAGCCCTATTATTGTTAGAAGTGTGAAAATAGGTAGATTTTTCCCAAGGAAAGCTCCCATGTGTTATAATAAGTCAGTATGTACTAAGTGGACAGAAACTGTCGATAACCATGTTCTCATCAAACACTACAGTTGTGAAACGGTGCACATTCAGGTAATTTACTTTACCGATCCACGACAATAAGCTGAAACGGTAATCTTGGATGCTGAATTGTCACCGCGCTGTTAGACAACCGGTTTAGGTGATGTGTTAGACTACCTGCCCAATCGTGGACCGAGTTATGTAGTTTTACGTAACTTTATTTCCGGACACTCTAATTTGCCTTGTAGTAGAAGTGTCCAAAATCCTTTTTGCCTCATTGTTCCCGTCGTTGGATATTGAAAAGCGGGATGTGTTGGTTTAAAGTGTACTGTGTCTGCGTCTGAAGAGCGAAAAAGGGAAGTCGAACGAANGGGGGGGGGGGGGTAAACACTGCTAAACTGTGTATAAACCGAGAATCGCCTACCGATACATGTGCGAGATTTACTTCATCATTCAGTAGTTGAAAAATCTTTGGTTGATGATTTGACCTCGTAAATTTGATGGTTATCTCCGAGGGGTATGAACACAGTCATTCCAGCTTCTTCCATGAATCATGAACAAGTTCCCGTGCATCACTTTGTAGAACTTCCTTCATGGAGTAGCATCTAGTTTCCTAAAAGTAATTGT